GTCCTATAAATTTGGAAAGAGAGCAGAGTTTCAGAATCCTTTTATCAGGAACGATCCTAAAAATGCCAAAACCCCAAACTGGGAATTTTACCGCCTGTCGAAGGCTACAATGCACTCCATACAGAACGACTCTTCAAAATGGCGAATGACTTGTCGATATGACGTTGATGGTCTCAACAAAACTGATTATATCGAAGCCTTAAAAACTCAAGTCGACATTATAACTTTTACTGGTCGTAAATGCATGAATGTTGAGTTCGTAAATGTTCGCGGAAACGAGTGCTCTACTAGCGGGGCGACAAATTGCCGTGCTTTTTTAATTCAAAGAGATGATAAACTTACGGTACCATTTCATCACGATTCCTTCAGAAGCCATAACGAAAATTGCAGTTATAATCCATCCAGTATTCCATGCGGCGATGAGAAAGGAAATAAATTCGGCGAGGATAACTTTGGTCGATATCAGAAAGGCTGCGTTAACCCAGCTCATCGTTGTTCTATGAGTGATTTGTCTACGACTCAAACCTGGCTTGGTACTTGAACTAAAATTATTATACTATACAATACATGCATTTTTACAATATAATATACATAATGAGTTGCCAAGTTTGCCAGTACGCAGGAAGTGTGAAAACAGTTATAGCCTATAGCTATAACAGCAATATTTAGTTGAATCATCCCTGTTTTTACTTCAGAAAATTTATAATTTTTTTCTATAATATAAATTTATAATTTACTTCACCAAAAAATTATCTAATGATTTCTGTGTTCGGATAGTCTGATCTAAACACGGGGGAATATTGCAAGCTTTAAGAAAAGCGAAGACAGTAACCATAAAGTAATTGTTTTGTAAAATAACAACAACATCACTGAGTAGTCTTTCAAGTTTTATTTCAATACGCGAATTAAATCTCGCGTTGGGATGGCCTGATCCAAACGGGCTTGGACCAATCAGAAAACGCGTTATATATACATGTTATTTTATAATACCTTATCATATAGAACTGATATAAGTTAAACATCTGGTAGAATCAAATAATGTGATACATAATATATCATATATATCAAGATAATTTTATCATTATATACTATACTATTGTTAAAGCCATTTAAAAGATGCTGCAGTGAAATCGTCTCCTTGCAGTTCATTTTTTTTATCACATAACTCGGTATCTCTGGTCCAGCACTTGCGAAGATTTAACAGCTACTCTGCGAAATCGAGTCGTATCTGATAGCCGACGAGGCACGCAGCGCCGCTGCGTTAGCTATTAGTCATATACGACAAAAGTGAGCAGAATAATTGGTTTTATTAAATGGCTTTTTAAAATCTTCTATTCTGACTGGTTGACGAGTGGTCCGTATAAAAACCCATACCGGGACCGTGGTCCGTATATTCCGTATCTGGACCAGTATCCCGGATGTCTGATGCAGTTCAACCATATTTACAACAAATTAATGACCTCATTTGTTCGGTCGGTCTGTACTGTCTGGATTTTTCAGCTGGTTCGGTCTGGATTTTTTGCATGAACCTCGCTTTTTTGTCGCTCGGTTCATACTAAAAAGCCTCGGTCTGATATTTCAGTACGCAGACCTCACGTTCAGGCTTATTATTATGCACAAACGCGCTGGATAAAAACAATTAACTTTCAAATAATAAGAATAGTGAAAAAACTTTCTACTCCACTTTTTTCAAAAAATTGAATAATTAAATTCCATATCGTGTTTTTTCGATCGTTTCGATACAGAAAAACAGAAACAAAACCGGATATTTTTGTAAACCTGTAGTTTCTAATCCAGGGGCGTAGCAATATTTTCAAGATTGTGGGGAGAGGTTGACGATAGCCACCATGATTGGCGCCGAGCAAAAAAATTTTGAAAATTGATTGCTTTATATATTTGCTTTTGAAGTTGTTTTGCGAGCTGGTGATAAGATTAGCGAAGCTTTTGCCCCTGTCTTTCTTTAACACATGAAACACCAAGTGAAAACTCATAATACTATAAAACTATATTGTGATGAACGAAACTTTTATAAATAATGTTCTAGATTACATCTACATGCATGTGTTACTACAACCTATATTCAATTTCCAATACCCAGTTTGAATTTCAAAAATCTTTCTTTAAACCTACTGTATTATAAGGGGTCTCCAAAAAGACGTAAAAGCCGTCTAAGTGCATCAAATCAGAAATTCCCTACCACTAGGGTGAGACCTTGGGGAAGATTTCCCTATAAGGACCTCCAATCTGGTTAATAACATATATATATATATATATATATATATATATATATATATATATATATATATATATATATTTTTTTTATTGTAACTATATTACAATCCTGAATCCTAATTTAGTAGTGGGTTTGTCTCAGCGTGCAATATACATTATAATATAAATAACTCGCTATTTGCAGATGATTACTCGAGATTGTTGTTCCCAAACCTTGTCTTGAAAATATCCTATATATATTCTTGGCTGGTTTTTAGTCAGGAAAATTATCCTCCGGATTGGATCGAGCAGGATCGTTTTTTATATGGTTTTCTTTGGTCGTTGACACATGGATAAAAAAGTAGCTTTTCTCTCCGATACAGTCCGGAGGGTAATTTTCCTGACTGAAAACCAGCTTTCTCCTGGAATTTGATATTTATTATGATTGTAGCGACCAGACAGCTAGTGGGCAATTTCAGTAGCTCAAAATGAAAAGAGGCAGCCCATAAGAAGAAATTGCCGCCTAAAACAGGCCAAAATTGGCGGGTGATGGGTTAATTTCAAAATTTTCCTCGCACCCTTTCCTCGAGGCTCGCAGCGCGTTCACCACTTGTCTTGAAGATATTCGTCCGTTCGAAAAAATCTTCAGGTTCTACACAGTATAAACAGTAAACAATATAAAATTGGTAAACAACAACATTTATTTATTGGTTGATTTTTTAATGAATCTCAGAAAACTAATTACACAAAATAGTTGTTTCAACAATCTGTAATTGTGATATTGCTTGTAAATGTATGACTTATAATACTTGGCTTTTCTTATCAAATAGACACATGTACACACTGCAATAGTCGAGAGAATCTGATGTTTTGTGATGCCTTACGTAAAGTTTCCAAGAACATCTGCAGTATTGTGATGATTGATGAAAATTGCAATTACTCAGTTTGTAAGTCAATCAATCAATCATAGTTATTTTCCACAGCATCTCCATCGTTGTTATACAATCAGATTTCATTTCCTGTATATTTTTGCAATGTAAACTCTACGACAAAATCTGAAAATCCTCTGAAAGTGCGGCAGAGTTCTAAATAATCTGCAACCTTCCTCCGAAAGGATTCCATGTTTTATGATATTCTTACTCAAAGTTTCTAGGAACATCTCTGCAGCATTGCGATGATTGATGAAAATTACAATTATTCAGCCTGAAATTCAATCAGTCATAGATCGATCAGATTACATTTTTCCATATTGAGTTTTCACAATGTCAACGACGACTTCAAAATCTTGCCTTCTTGCTTTGACTCATACGAAATTACTAGAAATTAAGATACACGACCCGCAGTCATCCTTGACTATCTTTATTAGTAATTTTCTCCACTTTGCCTGAAGATGTTTAAAGTTAAGATGAAACGTAAATGATCGTATATAATATGATTTGTCATCGACATAATTCATGGATATAATTTTATTTTAAAATTCAAATTATTCTGAAATTTCTTGTGGTTAGGACGCGTCGTCGACACGAGAACGTTGTCATAAGAAAGCTACAAATTATTGCCCTCGATCTCTTGCTGTGGAAAAGTGTTATTCCTTTTGATGGAAGAGCGTCTCTGAGAAAACATTCAATTTTAATAAGCTGTCACTAATAACATAATTATTGGGTCTAATGGATTATTTAACGGAGTATAATCTAAGAAATGAACATAAAACCGCCATTTTCACAAAATTATCTCTTTTTTTTTCGTTGCGGCAATGTCTTAGGGAGATTGTGGGTGGAAAAATTCCAACAACTTTTTATAGCAGTAAATTCCTAATTTATATTTATTAAGGTCACGGAATAATTCCAAATTTACTTATTTTGAAATATATCACACATCAGGTAGAGAGTACGGTTCCCCAAGCGAAGTCACGAAGAAAGTCAGAATTTCTCTACAATTTCTCTGCAGTATGCTGAATGAAATCAGGTAATATTAAATAGATTTTGTTGATCGTCCTCAACATCTCTTGTCGCTCGATAAATTATCCTAGTTAAATTACAGGTATGAATAGGCATTGAACATATAAATCCACGAGATGTTGACCGCAATTGGAAAGCAAATGTTTTCGTGGGTATAAACGTTTAAAAGATCGATGATGAGTTATTTCAGCAAGTCATACATGTGAAGCAATGCCATGCGGAAAATTCGAAAGATTACCTAAAAAAATTTCAATAACATTATTAATGTCTTTAGATCGTTGATCGGTTTCGTAGTGATAATGTTGAACATCGTACAGAATGAAGCTTTTTACAGGGTGACCTTGATTCGCGACAAAATTCCTTATAACTGTAGTTTTCAAAATACATCAGAGACGACAATTGGAAGTTGTCTGGCAAAGTGTCTGAAAAATTGCACATGTCGGGCGTTCCGGATGTGTGACGAAGATAAAACTTGTAGTTTGTGTTTGTCTCATAACGTGTCCTCAAGATGGAAGACATGGAAGAATTTTTCGCCTTCAAAAGAAAACAACTTGCGTGTGGTTTCATATGTTTTGTATAACAGTAATTATCTATGATTGCAATATTTCAATCCACTTATGTAGAGTGAGGGCAAAATTATAGCGCAAAAAATAGGACGCAAATTTCCAGAATTTTTTGGGTAACAATAGGTTTTCGTGCGAGATTATAATGCGTTTGAAATTCTTAATTTAGAACGGTGCACAGAAGGACTGCCTTCAAGACACAAACTGTTGTCTGACCTCACAACCTTGTCTCAACGCTGGAGTGTGTAAACCAAGTTATCCTTTTGACATGCTGCATTCGCCACGTTTCACATGTGACTGTGCCCCAGGCTATCACGGAAGGCGCTGTGACCAGCCAATCAAGTCATGCCGTGGATACGTTAGTGGTAGCTATGACCCACCAGTCTCGGGGCATTACACAATCGTGGATGACGAGAATCAACCCTTTCCAGTATTTTGCAATTTCGCTAAGTCAGCAGATAATATTACAGTATCTTGGACACTCATCCAGTCCTATAAATTTGGAGAAAAAAGTGGATTTCGGAAATCTTTTTTCAGGAACGATCGCTGTCGAAGGCTAGAATGCACTCCATACAGAACGATTCTTCAAAATGGCGAATGACTTGTCGATATGACGTTGATGGTCTCAACAAAACTGATTATATCGAAGGCTTAAAAACTCAAGTTGATATTTTAACTGTGAGTGGTAGTAAATGCATGAATGTTGAGTTCGTGAATGTTTGCGGAAACGAGTGCTCTACTAGCAGGGCAAAAATTGCCGTGCTTTCTTAATTCAAAGAGATGATAAATTTACGAGACCATTTCATCACGATTCCTTCAAAAGCCATAACGAAAATTGCAGTTATAATCCATCCAGTATTCCATGTGGCGATGAGAAAGGAAATAAATTCGGCGAGGATAACTTTGGTCGATATCAGAATGGCTGCGTTAACCCAGCTCATCGTTGTTCTATGAGTGATTTGTCCACGACTCAAGCCTAGCTGGCTTGGTACTTGAACTGAAATGGAACACAATGTGATGTCAGTTTACAATATAATATACATGCATCACACATAATTATTAGTTGCCATTGCCAGTACGCAGGAAGTGTGAAAACATTTATAGCCTATATAACGGCAATATTTAGTCGCATCATCCCTGTTTTTACTTCGGAAAATTCATAATTTATTTTATTATGAATTTATAATTTACTTCACTAAACAATTATCTAATGGTTTCTGTGTTTGGATAGCCTGATCTAAACACGGGGGAATGTTGCAAGCGTGAAGAAAAGCGCGCGAAGACTGTAACCATAAAGTAATTGTTTGATAGAATGATAACAACATCACTGAGTAGTCTTTCAAGTTTTATTTCAATACGTGAATTAAATTCTTGCGTTTAGACGCCCTGATCCAAACACGGGATTCGACCAATCAGTGACACGCGTTATATACATGTTATTTTATAATACCTTATCATAGAACTGATATAAGTTAAAATGGTAGAATCAAATAACCAAATACATAATATACATAGATAATTTCATTATTATATACTACACTATTATTAAAGCCATTCAAAAGCTGCTGCAGTGAAATCGTCTCCTTGCAGTTCATTTTTTTTATCACATCACTCGGTATCTCTGGTGCGGCACTTGCAAAGATTTAAGCAGTTACTCCGCGAACTCGAGTCGTATCTGTGCTGACAGCCGACGAGGCACCGAGTTAGAATGACTAACATAATAGTCATATACGAGGTGATTGAGCTTAAAACTGGTTTTAATAAATGGCTTTTTCAAATCCTCTATTCTGATTGGTTAACGAGCGGTCCGTATAAAAACCCATACCCGGACCGTGGTCCGTATATTCCGCAGAAATTTTATAAACCTACAGTTTTTAACCCAGGGACTGTGTGATCGAAATTCCACAGTAGAAAAACGAGCAATTAAAATAAAAAATGTCACAAAAAAGACACAAACTTTAAAATACTCAGCTTCGCTTTTAGTTTAAATAATGTATAGTTCAGTCCTTTGAACCCTTACATGCTTCGAACTATCAACTATATTTATCTTGGCAAAACAACTTACGAAGTTTTCCGGATGTAGTGTCGAACATACCGTTCGTCATCTTTCGTATATCCGACGATTGCCGAAGTTGTCGTGACAATCCAGTGGTGGCGAGGAAATCCAGCCACCTGATTCTGCGAGTTTTTTGCGATTTACAGTTGCTATCAGATAAAGGAATATTGTTTTCCTAAAACAAAACTCTTCAAAGTGGCTTTAAAGACTTGTTGACTATATCACTGCAAAAAATCCAGTGTAAACAGCACTTAAATTATTGTGTAAAGCGATGACACATACTGAGTAAACTCAAGTAAAAATACTCATGAAGAGAAGTCACGTTTGTTCACGTCAAAAACATCATCAATTTTATTGATCTTTAACTTCTGAAAAATTGAGGATAAGTGGAGATGCCCAACGGTGTGTTCTCGAGAAAGAATATTTTTACGATAAGGAAGTGTATAAGCAGTGGCGTAGCCAGCCCGACAATTTAGTCATGCTATGCTAATATTTTGGTGATCATTTACTGTGAAAACAATGAATTTCTAAAAAAAAGAATAATGATAATAACATAAAATTTGCATAGCATGACTAAATCGTCAGGCTGGCTACGCCACTGTGTATAAGGAAGCGTATATACCAGAGCATATTTGGTACCTTACACTGACAAAGCTGACCAAAATCACGTGTCCAAAATAGAATGACGAAAATATACGAAACACTTTTTAACAGAACGCTAAAGCCACGTTCTAGAAACGTCCACATACAATCGTCTAAACTAACGCGCGAACTATTTTCATTTAATTGTCTACCATTTTGTTCCAGTCGTCCTTCGTTTCACTTGCGGCTTCTACAACACCTTCAGTCAATTCAAATCACATTTTAGGCCTAGTTCAGGCACCAGTGACCTTAGACTAAAGACTGGTTCAAACTTGTCGTATATGAATCTGGGATTCCCTTTGTCTTTGGTCACTGGTACGTAAATTTCTTTTTCTATCCGAAAATAATACACTGCATGGGTCCCCAATTCTTAGGAGCGGGTGTGAATCAGGCCTTAATCATGGTATTTTGTCCTAAACATGCAGCCTCTTGAGCGTTATCATTCAAAAATTATTTACCAAAGCACTTGAGTTCTTAAAGAAATGTAGCGATGATAATATGAAGACATTCGGAGCTACGGTATTTCCCGAGCTTAATGTTGTGGACAGTCCAACAGCTGTTGAAGGCTCTAACTTTAATTTCCCTGGGAGATTGACATGCGAGTCTTATATCATGTATGCGATGGAAGACATCCATTCCAAGCTAGAGGTAAAATCACCGTTCAAATTATTTCTTTTAATCTTTATCGTATTATATTTACGTAAAAACGTACCCTATAGTGATGGCTTTCTTTTTTTGTTGTCTATAGCGATTTTATGCGCGATTTTCCTCTGTTGATAGATGTGAACGAGTTATAGATCACGAAAGCTCTGATGTGTACGAGCTCCAATTGAAATATCAGTAACTAATTCAATCGTTCATATCTATCAAAAGAAGAAAATCGCAGCAAATTGCAGTGTAAACGGGCCTTAAATTTTCCAGTTATGATCCTATGAACATAATTTTCCGTCTTCCGAAAAGTTTATACACGGCAGCATATTCATTAATTACTTCGTTTTTAGGTCTTGTTTACTATATGTCACTCCAAAAAATCCAGAGCAAATAGCACTCTGTGTGCAAAATGTACTCTGTGACTCTGAGTTACTCAAATGAATAAGTATGTAGAAATTACTCAAATGCCGTAAATTCCTATTTACTAATTGAATGTGTGAACATATTGCACGAGTTTTTTGGCAAATTTCGCACTCAAAAGCTCGGCGACTACGAGTTTTGGCTGATGGCGTAAGCAAACAACGCGCGAGAATGACGAATTTCGTACTCGTAGTCGTACTCGTAGTCACTGCTAAAGCTCCCTATTTAATAAAACACGCGCCGGGGACGAGGCTGTGCCCAATCCATAAACCGCACATCGGACCAGTACGGGACCTGGGTACAGGTCATAATCGCCCATCCAATTGTATTAATATCGCTCTTAATGATATTAAATTGCAAAAGTCCTGCTTTCAAATAACCTTTCAATGACATCAACATTTAACGTATCCAACCTTCTGTTAAGAAATGTGAGGTCGTTAACTCAAAAATTAGATGAAATAACTGACTTCATGTTATACGAATATATTGATTTGGGATTTATCACTGAAACGTTGACTTGGCTTAAAGACTCAATACCGGATTGTACCGTAAATGTTCCAGGATATATAGTTTTTCGTCGAGATAGAGTTAAAGATGCCCATGGCGGGGTCTGCATTTATGTCCATGCCAAATGTGTGAGAAACTAAGACAATAATCGATGCAAATTGTTGTGAAGATCATATTAGACTTCATATTGGCTTTATATTGACAATTAGGAAATCATCGAGAGTTGGGAAGCCCTTTTCCGTGGGGGGCCTGCAAGGAATTCGCAAGATCTCATGGGGGCCATTGAGTTGGTCAACCAATTCCGGGCATCCAACCTGTAACCTTTTATTCTTTAAACTGTGTATATAACAGTAGAAAAGCTACATATACAAACAGGGGCCGGGGCAACTCCGAAGGGCAGTTTAAGCCAGCGATAACGGCCCCAGGGTGTTTGAAAGGTTGTCAGCTCACTTGACTCATCATCAAGTTCAATTTGTAGAAAGCCGTCCTTCAGGTCAACTTTACTGAAAACTCGAGCATTGGCTAACTCTGGAAGAACTTCTTCAATAGGGAGCTTTAGCAGTGACTACGAGTACGACTACGAGTACGAGATTCGTCATTCTCGCGCGTTGTTTGCTTACGCCATCAGTCAAAACTCGTAGTCGCCGGGCATTTGAGTACGAGTTTTTTGATAAACTTCGTACTCGAAAGCCCAACGACTACGAGTTTTGGCTGATGGCGTAAGCAAACAACGCGCGAGAATGAAGAATCTCGTACTCGTAGTCCTACTCGTAGTCACTGCTAAAGCTCCCTAATAACAGGCAGGGGGTAGTGCGCTCGTTTCAGTACCTTTTTAAGGTGCTGGGGTCAATGCAAACTCTGAATTGACCATTAGCCTTCTCAGTGACAACTAAACTAGATACCCACTTGGTTGGTGCTTCTTGCTTTGTAAGCACTCCCATAATTTCGAGTCGATCCAACTCTGCTTTCAGCTTTTCTTTACTGCAATGGGCACTCTCCGTGGGGCCATGACAACAGGTTTGGCCGATTCATCAACTGAAAGATGCAATTTGCCATCCATCTTTCCCAGGTCATTGAAAACATCAGAATACTCGCTTAGTATTTCTTGCTTAGTCAGATTATGTTCAGTAGGCAATTTGGCAGCATCTTCTGTGCTTACATGTAAAATATTCTGTTTTTGAACAACAATCAAGTTCATTTGCTGAGCAGCCTTGGCTCCTATGATTGGTGTATAGTTCCCCCAATGATCACAAATTCTGCTCGATACTTCTTACTGTTCTTAAGATTGCGAAAACTTACTTTTGCTGTTCCCAAGGTTGTCATTTTGATCTTGGAGTACATGATGAGCTCTTTAGCTTTCTTTTGGATCTCTGTGTTTAGTGGTAAAATGTGTTTTGGGAGGATATTGCAGGTAGCACCACACTGTAAAAACTGATTGGTCAAAATGACCAAAAAAATTGGTCACTTGGATGCATCTGAGAGAACCAGTTAAAATTGGTCGTTTTAAGCAATTAAATTAACCAATTATTAATTGGTCATTTTAACCATTAACAAATGGTCAAACCAACCAATTTTTGTCGTTGTATTGACCAGTTGTCTCTGGTTAAAATGACCATTTTTAAATAGTTCTTGCAGAAGCGTCCAAGTGACCATGTTTTCCAAGGTTTTCACCTATACAATAAATCAACAAGAATATACATCATA